CATCCACAAGCTCCTTGCAGATACAAACTTTGAAATCCAAGTCACAGATAACAGAGGTCCCACAAGACTTGGAGGAATGGTTTTCAAGAATGGTTCTCAAAGATGATCGTGAAGCCATTCAGTTGTGTTGGATATTTTTACATTAATGTTAAACATGTTATCTAGGTGTCATATCATGAAGACCATGTTGCATACAAAATTAATATATCTAGTCAATAATTCTTTGAACAAACACAAATTCTGCCAAAAGACCCCAACATAGAGTAACTTTCTGACATTAGTTTTTTAAGACACAGAAGAATTCAGTTTTAAGACCCTAGGACAAACAGATATACTGACATTAGTTTCTAGGACAAGCAGATATTCTGCCTTAAGATCCTACTATAAACAGATTTACTGACATTTGTTTCTAGGACAAGCAGATATTCTGCTATACGATCCTAGGACAAATAGATTTACTGACATTAGTTTCTTATACAAAATGATATTCAGCTATATGATCTGGGACAAACAGATTTACTGACATTAGTTTCTTATACAAAATGATATTCAGCTATATGATCTGGGACAAACAGATTTACTGACATTAGTTTCTTATACAAAATGATATTCAGCTATATGATCTGGGACAAACAGATTTACTGACATTAGTTTCTTGGACAAAATGATATTCTGCTATATGATCTAGGACAAACAGATATACTGACATTAGTTTCTAGGACAAAATGATATTCTGCTATATGTTCTAGGACAAATAGATATACTGACATTAGTTTCTAGGACAAGCAGATATTCTGACATTAGTTTCTCTTTAGCACAACCAGAACAGTTCCCAGACAAACAAATATTCTGAAAAAATAATTCATGACAAAGAATTTAATTTCCCTGACTTAGGAACTGCATGATTTGTCAATTCACTTCCTGGATGAGTTTAACAACCAATCAATATTAATGACTTGTTTGTCATACTTTGTTAAATCTTCCCAACTATCAAACAACATGTGAATGATGTGCTTATCCCGTCTACATAACTGTCATAGATCACTGACTTTCTATATTCTCAGCTCATTCACTGCACATGATATGTTTGAATTGTTAACTTCACCAGACATTCTTTGCTCATTAACATTGAGAATAATTTCCAGTATGTTAACATTGACCAGAATTCCTAATTTATAAATATTTAACATCCATTCAACTTTATAAACATTTAACATCCACTATACTTTATAAACAGTTAGACTCTCCTTTATAAACATTTAGACTCTACTTTATAAACATTTTACATTCACTCTACTTTATAAACATTTAACATCCACTCTACTTTATAAACATTTAACATCCACTCTACTTTATAAACATTTAACATCCACTCTACTTTATAAACATTTAACATCCACTCTACTTTATAAACATTTAACATCCACTCTACTGTATAAACATTTAACATCCACTCTACTTTATAAACATTTAACATCCACTCTACTGTATAAACATTTAACATCCACTCTACTTTATAAACATTTAACATCCACTCTACTGTATAAACATTTAACATCCCTCTACTTTATAAACATTTAACATCCACTCTACTGTATAAACATTTAACATCCACTCTAATAAACATCCATCCACTCTACTATAAACATTTAACATCCCTCTACTTTATAAACATTTAACATCCACTCTACTGTATAAACATTTAACATCCACTCTACTTTATAAACATTTAACATCCACTCTACTGTATAAACATTTAACATCCACTCTACTTTATAAACATTTAACATCCACTCTACTTTATAAACATTTAACATCCACTCTACTGTATAAACATTTAACATCCCTCTACTTTATAAACATTTAACATCCACTCTACTGTATAAACATTTAACATCCCCTCTACTTTATAAACATTTAACATCCACTCTACTGTATAAACATTTAACATCCCCTCTACTTTATAAACATTTAACATCCACTCTACTGTATAAACATTTAACATCCCCTCTACTTTATAAACATTTAACATCCACTCTACTGTATAAACATTTAACATGCAATTTAACATCATTCCTAGGTTGTTAAAACTTAACATCATTCCTCATTATTCAACACTGTATATCATTCCCATGTTATTAAATTCAAACATCATTCCTAGGTTATTTAATTGGAATCAAATTCGTATATCATTCCCATGTTATTAAATTCAAACATCATTCCTAGGTTATTTAATTGGAACATCATTCTAAGGTTGTTAAAATTAAACATCATTCCTCACTAATTAACACTGAACATCATTCCTTGGTTGTTAAAATTCAACATCATTCCTATGCTATTAACATTTAATGTCATCCCAATTTGTTAACATTTGACACTGTTCCCATTCCATAAACATTGAAAATTATTCATATTTCATAACTGCACACACAATTCCTAGTTCATTATAATTATGTTTCACAATTTAATTCTGTCCTTCAAACTGACTTGATATGAAGACTGATGAATCCTGGCTTACAAAGTACATAACACAACTGAAATCAATATTAGCAACAAACCTGTCTATTTAGAGTCTTGTGAAAACTGCCACTTTATCGATGAGGTTTAGATGTATTTCAACTCAAATTCCTAAATAGGTACGAATTCAGTGTACATATCTGACATACATAATTGAAATGCTGTTTACATTTCAAAGCACAGATAAAAGCTTTTATATATTGCGAGATTGCCAGTTTTAGCACATGTCATGCATTACTACTGTGATATCGACATTTTCCGGAAAGAAAGACAAGCTGGTTGCACTTTTGGAGTTAAAACTAGTAGATTAGTGTTGGGAGTTTTGATGTAGAAGTGGTATATTATTGGCAACAACCCCCAGGCCTTCCCACCCTCAAGTATCCCCACCCTATTGTACAAGTGTTTCATGATGGTGTCCACAGTGGTATACTTGTATGTTGTGATTCTATGTGGTAGCTGCAAGTCATCCTAATGTCCTCCTTGCTATCACACAGATCCATATTGATGCCTCATACCTATCTTGTTAATGTAGGGATTCATGTCATGTTACCATTTACCAAATTTCTTTTTGTAATCAAATCATGACATACTCGGAACAGTGCCACTTTGTTATCATGAGGAGAGAAGTCCCGTGCCTGATCGCTGATAGATTATGGCTCGTGCCTTGTTGAATGGTTGGAACACTGATGATCAGTCACTCACTCACTCACATTCTATCACATCAATTTCTGTAATATTTCTCAATGTTTTTGTCAGTTTAGTCTAAAAGCACAGTTGCAAGTTTCAAACTATGTAGTTCATGTTTTCTGCATTCAGATTCTATATTATAGAATGATAATATTTTCATGTTTTCTGCATTCAGATTCTATATTATAGAATGATAATATTTTCATGTTTTCTGCATTCAGATTCTATATTATAGAATGATAATATTTTCATCAAAACTGTTAGTATAATTATGAAATACCAGTTAAGTCTTAACTTAAAATATTAAAACTAAAACACTGACCAATTGTAGGAATAAAATGGTTACAGTAGTACAACCAGTACATCAGGGTCATGGTATGAAGATAATGGTTGTCATGCAACCAGTGCACTATAATTATACTGAGAAAACAATGGTGGCAGTGCAACTAGTGCAATATGATCAGAATTTGAACACAAAAGTTGCAGTGCAACCAGTGGAATAACATGATATGAATACGATGCATGTGATAACATTGACCACAATGGATGTGACAATGTTGTGTTGCACCTAGATTACAAATAGACATCAACCAATTAGAAAAGTTGGACTGAATGACACAAAACATGAAGATTGTAGACTTGTTAGAAGGTCAGCTCCTACTTTGAAATAAAGTCTATGGATGTTACATAAGCATGAGAATGTAGCTGTCATGGCAAGTATCATCAAAGTGGGGTAAGGATTCAAACCCACATTCAGTGGATCCTGGATGTTAAGGGACATAACTCTGTGCTATAAATGTAGGCATTGTGCAACCTACAAACCTAGATATGAGAACCTTTCAAATCAAATTCAGGTAAGAGAACTTTTAAAAGACAATTTTATTCCTTGACTATATGATCTGTTAACATATTTATTTGTTTGACTGTTTTTATTTTAATCCCTATTACCAGTAAGTATGCATACACACATTAAAGTAAAAACAAGTGTTTCTAAGCCAGGAAATATATTTGTGACATAGTAAAAGGGTAATGTTGAGAAAAAGAAAATAGTTAGTTAATAGACCTTAGTTTTATCATTAACAAAAGCTTCAGGTCATTTTAATTTAAATCATTTTAACATTCCTTTAAAGTAAGTTGAGTTGAGTATGTTATATTGAAACTAAATACATTGATGCAATGATTTTATATCATTATATTATTCATTTATAGTTTCTCCTCCATACTTACAAACTTTTTTATTCATTTTAATTTTGATTTAGATTTTGTTTGTCCGAAACTAGGAGCTCAAAATGAATATTTGTTTGAAATTTACAAAATACTTCCAAAATGCATATATAAAGTCTACATATAAAACATAATTGAAAAACAGTTCAAATGAATCTTTTAAGTAAAAATTTGTCCCTGAAAATTACCAGACTTAGTAGAGACTTGAAACTTGTTTAAACAAACTCTACGCAGTATTAAATTTATAAACATCCTGAACAAACATCCCAGACTATGAAATTGATAAAATTATTGATATTTGTGTATTAGACCCCACAGTTCTATACTAACTGCACATATATATATATTGATATCAGACCTGTCACAGTAGATACACAGACAGCAGCCTAGCCTATATTTGTATACGTTACAAATTCCATTCAATCAAAATGGAATGATCCACAATTACATAAAAATATGAAATCTTACAGCAATTGCCGATATTAAACACTTATCGAGACATGCGTTTAATGCCAAGTCTGATAAGATGAGAACGATACAGGCTAAAGCAGAGATATGTAGACACAGTATACCTTCAAGTATAGCTTGACCTGGAAACTGTATATGAAGATGGATCATTGATGGAGTTGTCAGGTCGTCACGGACGCAGTATGGCATGTAGGTGCAACACAACGTCAACAGTATTCAGACAAATGTAAAAACACCGGCCGTGTCTGCATCGCACAGAAAAAACAGTGAGTCATGGAAGCATTCCGCCACTTCGCCTATGGCACTGTGTACATAAGCCAAGAGACGTTAGCAAAAACCAGTGGAAAAACTCCTTTATACACCTATATTTCCAACTCAAAAATCATCCACAGAGTCCAAAACGCTGTCCCAAATACTACACACAAAAACAGCTTTTTAAAGCCACATATCTTCCATTCAGAACATAAAAACAGCAATTTCTAACTGGTTTTTACAGCAGCGAGAGGCACTTGAGGTTTTTTTACACACCAATTACATCATACGAGCTATCCCCCCTATTTGCAGAATGAGCACGTCCCTGTTACTCCATCAGCAGTTGGTGTGTTGACCTAGTGAGTAGCATTTGTCTGGGTTGATATGCAGGCCTATATGCACTATAGGCCAATGTCGCCTGGCTCTTATGTGTTTACCTCATTGTAAGGACAAAACTCACCACGGAGCTTTATAACTGCTTTGCTTTAAACTTATCAAATATAAACATAAACAAATAAAAACAGAATATTTCAAGGAGTTATTTACAGTTCGTGGGAGAACTCACAAGGGGAATGGATTCTCACGTTATAACGAAACCGTTAAGGCACAGTAAGCATACAAGCGTAGAAGCATGTTATGTCTGAAAGAGTGACCTCAATGCAATTGATTGCGAGACAAGATTATACTTACGCCAACATACAAACTCAACGTCTCGGGTAACAAAATGCTGTCTGAATTTATGTATTTCACAAAAAACGAACTAAAAAAGTTTATTTTTTTAATTGAAAAAGCAGAGTACAACATTTAGAGTAAAGCAGTTGTACTGTAGCCTGTTGTACATCACCAGAGAGTGCATTAAATCACTGAGTGCAGACTGCGGGACGTTCTCACAGACAGAAGATATACACGTGCCAGACAGCTTGGACTATTGGGGAATATTTCAGACCTAATCAAATTTGATATGTGTAACAGTCATCTTTCTTAAACTTAAAGCTGTGAACTTTATTCATCCATTTTGTAAATTTAAAATTTTTACAAAATTTGATTTGTGGAGGTTATGTTCTGTTCAAGTTTAAAGATGTCAATGTTATTCTTCATATATATTGATTAATATCATAAATGTCAGAGAATATTAAAATAGTTTCATGGATATAAGAACATAAAATGAAATTAATTCAGACAGATGCTGAAAAATAGTTTGATTTGTATGTGATTGTTTTTGGTTAGCTGATCATATTAATGCTATTTAAATATGCATAGATTTCTACATCAACAATAATAACTAACATTATTTTTGAAATATGAAAATTAAGATCTCAGTTAAATTCTTCTTATTTAGAGCACATTTGTGAAATGTTTGCTCTTTTTTAATTATGCCACTGATGATAAACAAATCTGGACGATATGAAAATTGAAAGTTGTCATGAAAATACCAGATTAAAAAATGGACTGACCTACCTGTTTATTAGTTTGAGCCAGTGGAAACATCTTGATCCCGTCAAACATTACAGAGAGTGACGTAAGACTTATCAAGCATACATTCACTCAAGAAACAGTAGAATGAGTAAACATGCATAATTCTTTTTAAAAAACTTAGATAATGCACTCTAGTTGTGCAAATAAAGCATTCTAGGTCAATTTTTATCTCAACCTACAGGACTTGATCGCTGTTTCAACCATCTGTGACAAAAGTAGACCTTGGAAACACAGGACAAAATCAGGGAGACTTCAGTTTTCATCCAAACCTTCTACATTAACATATTTTAAATTTATTGAGAAGGTTTAATGCCACCTTGAGCATGATTCAAGTGATATCACAGTGGGGGGGACAGGAGACATGGGTTTCACACTGTCCACTCATGTGGGGAATCAAAGTGAACACTTTGTACAGCCTTATCAGAAGATGCTTTAACCACTAGGCTATGCCCCTGCTGAAAATTAATTGAAGATTAATGTTAAATTGGTTTTTTTTGGTTCATATAGCCCTAAACTCTAATTAACTAATTAACTAAACTATAGATGTTGGTATTTCAATTAACAAACAGTTAATCTACTGAGGATGATGGTGACAACAATGATGAGTGAGTGAGTTTAGTTTTATGCTGCTATATTCTAGCTATATGGTGGTGGTCTGTAAATAATCGATTGGACCAGACAATCCAGTGATCAACAGCATGAGCATCGATCTACGCAATTGGGAACCGATGACTTGTGTCAACCAAGTCAGTGAGTCTGACCACCCGATCCCGTTAGTCGGACAACAATGACGAAGAAGATGATGATGAGCGAGTGAGTTATTATTTAACGTCACATCGGCAATATTTCAGCCATATCATGATGAAAATGATGATGAAGATGATGATGATGATGATGATGATGATGATGATGATGATGAAGTAGGAACAAAAGTCTTTTGATGATATGTAACCATGGCAAAGTATGTTTTCAACTGTTAGCCACAAGAGTTAAATTTAATGCTAAAAGGCCTACAAATTAACCTATCCCACTAAAGATACTTATCAATAGAAGGCTGAAAAACCAACATGTGGCAAGTTTCCTTGATAAGAACACACAAAATGTCATGTATGTCAATGTTTGGTGACACATGCATGTATCTAACAACTACACACATACCCACACATTGACCCTGTTTCATTTCATCAAGGAGCTATAGTCAGTATTTGCATGATTCCAAATGGGTGTGTTTTCCTCTTTCATCGGTATCAATTTACATAGGCAAATGGATCTGTGTAAACTATTAATAGATAATTACACAAATCAATAAGAAAGAAGTTCATCCCTAAAAGCTGTATTACGTAAGTGAGGGAATGTTTGAAACGGAACCTATTTTTTATTGTTACACAGGAGTGTTCATCTTGGTGATGTATGCAGTGAATCATGTAAAGAACTTTGTCTTGCTAAGTACGGGTTGTACATATCCAGGTAGTTGTATCGTATGATAGATCCTGGTCTGCCGCCCACATAGTCACTGCTAGTAGTACATCACAGCTACGTAGGTTTCATAACACACTGCTTGGTTGTAGAATACTAGTTCTGCTGGTACTACAGGGGGGGCACTCACTCACTCACTCATTCACTCATCCACCAACTACCCCAAAACACTCCCACTCACTCTCTCACTTACCCACCCATTCACTCACTCACTCATCAAAACACACACAACCACACATCCTTTCACTCACTCACTCATCCACAACTCGCAAAAACCCTCCCATTCCTCACTCACTCACCCATTCACTCACTCACTCAAAACACACACACCCATCCATGTACTCATATTCTATCATATCGAATTCTGATTTCTGTAATATTTCTAAACATTTTTGTCAGTTTAGTCTAAATCTGTTATCACAGTTTACCAAAGCATTCAGAGTCCAAGACGAATCCTAATATAATCACCAGGTACTATATCTTTGTTTGTCAAGATCTCTCCATGTTCCAGTATTTCCATGTTGCTGATAATGGCCGACATCAGTGTCAAAAAGCTGTTAACGTCACTCCATCCCCATCAATAAAGATTACTGCATCCTATACATCTAAAATTTCACAAAGTTGCTGTTGGTAATATGCTCTAATGGAATATACAAGTCCTTGACATAGAAATACATTCTTAGATATGAAACACTCTAGGGTCCTTCAGGCCATTGATGAACATAGATCAAGACACGGAGAGGGACTTACATGGTAATCTGGATCATAGCACTGACTCAACTCAGATTAACAAATTTCTGGATAATACTGGTGAACATACTTGGGGTTATCCAGTTTTGATGACATGATTTTGTATACATGTAGCGTCCACTCAATGTGGTGTCCAGACTATTGAGGTTTCTGTGTATAGGGATTTCATTGAAGAATTCATCAGGTTTAGCAATATCCCCACAGTGGAAAGGGAGATCACAATAGGTTTTATTCTTTGCGCTGACTAGGTGGCCTTTGTGGTGAGTGAACCCTTTATCCACTAGGATACCAAACTGCCTTGCACTGTTGAAATTGATCACTAAAGAACACTTCCCCCCCAGCTCCAACCCTTCACATCCCTCATCCATGCTTACCCCCCTCAACATGGTTGCCCCCTCCCCCCAAAAAAACAAACAAACAAACAAAAAACAATTTGCCACCTTCATCCCTGCTTGTACCCTTCAACCCTGCTCTCTCCCATCATCTTTGCCTGACCCCCTCATATCTTTTTGCACCTTCATCCCTGCTTGTACCCTTCAACCCTGCTCTCTCCCATCCTCTTTGCCTGACCCCCTCATATCTTTTTGCACCTTCATCCCTGCTCACTTTATTCATCCTTGTTTGCCTCCTTCATCCCTGTTTGCCCCCTTCATCCCTGCTTGTCCCTCACTCCTGCTTGTCCCCACATCTCTGCTTGCCCCATATCTCTGTTTGCCCCCTCATTATTTCTCACACCCTCAAACCTGCACTCATTTTCTAATCTTCCCAACCTCATCAACTTCCCGGACCTTCTTACCACCACCCCCACTCATCTCGGCTTGCCCCTCATCCATGCCCACCCCTTCAAACTTGATCACCCCCTCATTCTTGAGCCCCTCTCTTTTGTTTGCCTTCACATCCCCCCCCACCCCTTGCTGACTCCCCTGCTCACACTCAAAGCAAGGGTATGTTCTTCCTGCTCACTGGCATTTGTTCAGTTTGACAGACCTACCTGATACAATCCACCAGTAGCCTTCCAAATACCTATGTGCGTGACACATTGCTTGATACAGATAACAACATATAGAGACTATATATATATATAGCTAGTATGAGTATATACATCATCTTCACCGGTTCATTCTCCACAGACCCATGTTTGTAGATTACACATGTCTGTGGGCAAGGGGAAATATTCAGTGTGTGCCGATTTCATTGTTTGTTTGTCCGTGTCTTCCTTCCCTCCTTCCTTCACCTAATCCCTCCCTTTGTTCTTCCCTTTTTCCTTCCTTTACTCATTCTTTATTTTGTTCTTCTTTCTATTTTCTCTCCTTCGTTTGACTCTTAGCCCATTTCCTTGTATCCTTTATCCTTCCCAAATATTCCTTTGATATCTCTCATTTTTTGTTTCTTCTGTTGAATTCTTTCAATTATATGTGTTTTTTCGTATTATTCTGCACCTGACCTGTTATTACTGAAGCCTTCCTTGTTTTTCATGCCTCTTATGATTATTTCTTTCATCACTTTTAGTTTCTGTTCTTTCATGTTTTTTTTTAATTCTACATATTTTTGTGAAGCTAATATTCCTGATTTATTTATCATAATACTTCA